TAGTTTTTAGTTTCACCCACAAAACTCCAAAACCTCTTCCTTCTTGGGAAAAACCACCTCTGTCTGGGCTGAACAGCTGCCACTCAGAGCGTGGCACATGACTCAAATTACACATCCTGCTTTTCCAATCGCAGTCAAATTTATTAAACACATATAGTTTAATATGTTTGACCACAACGAATGTCTTCACCCGTCCCATTCAGGAGAATCTGATCTGTCTCTTAAAAGGCCCCGTGCTCTACAGCTGTCTGCAGGGCAACAAGATTGTTCTCATTCTTGGTAAATTTGTGTTAAACACCGGTCCTTTGGATCAGTGCCTGTTGATTCTGAATATGAGTGACAGCAACTGCCATAGACAGAGTGACAGATAGTTTTGGCAATTTTCTTTTTGTTGTATTGTCCACTTTTAGTGCAATGAGTCAGTTATTTGACAAAGAGAAAACAACCTGACTAACTTTACCTCCCAGGGATTTGTGTTTGCTTTGGCCAATATAGCATTTGTCCATTGGTATGTATTTCAAGATGAGGCTGTGCAGACACACGCACACACACAGCCAGATGCACACATTCCACAGTCATGGTCAAATGACTTGTCTTTCACTGGCTTCATTCCTTAATGCAGTGTGTCCTGCTGGAAATGACAGCATATGGAAAACCTGTCTAAATGAGTCCACACATCAATTACATCAACGCCTTCTCGCCCCAGTGACACCCCCCACTGTCACTTCTCTGTGTCCGTTCCTCGCTCGCCTTTTATCTCTTCTCTGGTCTCTCTGATTCTCCTGCCATTAACTGCTTGTCAGGGTGAAAAAGTGTCACTGAAAACTGAGCCATTATTGTCAACGTTACACTGGAATTTCTATTAACAAAATCCTAATCTGATGGAAAGTGATCATCGGATATTGTAAATCCGTGATGTCAACGCCTCTTATAATCATCCGTTGTGTTCAGACTGCTGGTGTGGGTCGGTCGTTTCTTTTGATCTGTGTCCTTTATCGGTTCCATCATACAAGTGCTGTGTGACCGATTATAATTATTACCTCTTAATTCAAGAGTGTTACAAAATTATTAAATTTTACATTTAGCTTAAAAGTGTAGCTAAAGTAAGCCAAAACAGTTGATTAAAAAAAAGCGAAAAAACAGTAACTACATTATGATAGTTATACAGTAGTAGTTCAGGTGTTTGTTGACGTCCCTATATGTTCACACACCAAGTATGAAAACATCGTCAGACTAATTTCATCTAGATGTTTTATGTCTACTTTACACAGCACGATGTGTCCGTGCTCAGGTCAAACTGTGTGTGTGTCTGTGTGTGTGGCGAGACCTTGACCTTGACTGGTCCCTAATGGCAAAGACTGTTCTATGAATGAGTTAAACTCCCCCTGCCATATAGTGGTATGTAGCAGCCTGTAAAGCACGCATAAGTCCCGCTCTGGTTTCAGGGAGGTGAACCCCCACCCCACACGCCACTGGAGCCTGACCCCGCCCCCTCCTGACACTCTGAAATAGTCACGTCCTTGTCCTGTAGTTGTGTGTGTGTGTGTGTGTGTATTTGGTTGATTGAGGAGCAGATTGCTGCTGACAGGTCACACTGCGTTCTATCCCTGCGTCCCCTTCCTAAGATTTGCGAGCTGAAGCCCCTGCTCCACCCTCAACTTCTCCAGGCCCCCACCTGTTTGGATCCCTCTGTTGCTCAGATCCTGCCGTCTTACACACACACACACACACACACACAAAGTGGACAACATGTGTCACCAGAATTCTTTTATTTCTCTGTCACTCTCTCTGTGGGTGATAAAGTCCATTATGAGTCATTAAGGTTGTGTGTGTGTGTGCTGGGGGGGTGTGAATGCCAGGCAGGTGACTTGCTTTTTAATGGGGCATAATTGGCCACGAGGGCAATTATGAGCGTGTGCTGTGACAGGAGTTTTTTTTTTTTTAATCCCCCCTCCCCCTCCCTTCCTCACATACACACACACACTGAGAAATAGCATGGACAAAATAATTCTTAATCGTTGTTTGTTTACTCTGCCCAAGCGTGTACTGTACTACATTCTCATGCTGTTGTATTTTCTTCCTCCTCCCCAGATTCTGATGCACACAAAAGACATGGTGCAGAAGGTGAGCACTGTTAATTAAACAAACATTAACTACCGTAATGGCTGTGATTAAATCTTAAATACATATACATTTTTATTTGCTTAACATTTCATCTAAGTAAAGATGAAAAGTCCTGGGAGCAACATTTTACTTTCTCGAACAAAAGGAAATCTCCAGAATATTAAAAAAATAAAAAATCAACATTGTGTTTTGTTTTGTTGACATGTTGTTCTATTTAGCAACAATTATGTGTGTTTATACCTGAGGTGAACTGTAGGACAGGTAGTGGTAACACTCATTTTCTCAAATGTAATTGAAAAAAGATCTTTTTTTGTATCTCTTTTATATCCTGTTGTAGTCAGACTAATTGTAACAGGACCATATTCTCCAATGCTTTAAAGGAAAAACAAAATTCAATTTCTTCTAATGTCATGTTTACTCCAGTATTTAACCTACAACATGCAACTGGAGAAGAGGTTGGTTTCATTGATGTGGTTCCTTGGGGAAGTGGTAAATGACACAGTATTACAGTATTATTGGAGTTAGGAGTTGAGGATTAATCTTTGGACCTTTAAGGGACTGACAGTGACACATTTCTCATATGTTTTCATCCACACTTGATTTGATAATGTGATTTGTTTCGTCTCACATTATTCTGTTGATTAAGATGAATCTGGAGGTCATCTACGGAGATACAGACTCTATTATGATCAACACCAACAGCAGGTCTCTGGAGGAGGTCTTCAAACTCGGCAACAAGGTCCGTACCTACAACTTCCTGTTTATAAAAACAAATTGCAAACTGCCTTTCTTTTGCTACTCTGTGTAACTCGTATAATGATTTAAATGCAGGTCAAGGCTGAAGTCAACAAACTTTACAAACTGCTTGAGATTGACATTGACGGAGTGTTCAAGTCCCTTCTGCTGCTGAAGAAGAAGAAATACGCTGCTCTGATTGTGGAGAGTCACAGTGAAGGACAGTATACTCTCAAACAGGAGCTGAAAGGCTTGGACATTGTCCGCAGAGATTGGTGTGACCTGGCCAAGGAATGTGGCAAGTACGTTATACTGACGCAGTGTTGACATATAATAATATGATAGTCATAGGGAACACAACAGAGTTTGTTCAGTGCAAATGAGAAACAAAATCTTTTGCTTTTGGCAGCTATGTGATTGGACAGATCTTGTCAGACCAGAATCGTGATGTCATTGTTGAGAACATTCAGAAACACCTAACAGAAGTTGGGGAAAAGGTAGCCAATGGATCCATTCCCCTCAACCTGTACGAGATCAACAAGGTGAGGACGTCGTGGCTCCTCAGAAATGTTTTCCACTGTAAAGAACACAGTGTTTTGTGAAAGTTCCTGTCCTTGTGTCAGCCAGTGGCGTAGTTTAACATATAAATGGTCCGATCTCTCATCACTGCACAAATCAGTTTCACTTAAACTGCTGTAAACTGGAGACTTTCACTTTAGAAATCTGCCAAACAACAATACTTTTTGTTTTTACATTTTGTTTCTTTGTTTAATTAGTCGTTTGTTTTCTGACTCCTGCAGGGTCTGACAAAAGATCCTCAGGATTATCCAGACAAGAAAAGCCTCCCCCACGTCCATGTGGCTCTCTGGATCAACTCTCAGGGAGGTCGCAGGGTCAAAGCTGGTGATACAGTCTCCTACGTCATCTGTAAGGTGTGTGATATTCAATGAGAGGTCAGGTATTCCAAAGACTGCCAAAGTCATTGTGATAATGATATCACATAAATAATAAAACTGATTAAACATGTTTAGAGCATTTACAGTAAAATGGTGATAGTAAAATTGGCAGAAACGACAATAGATGAAAAAAATGCCTTTTAAAAAGTGCAAAATTTTAGATGATGATTTTTGAAGATTTAGCTTTAAGTTAAGTGCAGCGTTTGTAACAAACTGAAAAGCATTACTGGGAAAGAGGATTCACTCTGTAACCCCTTGATTGAGATTAAATAGATACATCTATTACTTACATTCAGAAAATGTGACTTCATTTTCTCTGGTCCACAGGATGGTTCCACGCTTGCTGCTAGTCAGAGAGCGTACGCTCTGGAGCAGCTCCAGAAGCAGGAGGGTCTAACTCTGGATACTCAGTATTATTTGGCTCAGCAGATCCACCCTGTGGTGTCTCGCATCTGTGACCCCATCGAGGGCATCGATGGCATGGTCATAGCCTCGTGGCTGGGTGAGTTCATGGATGCGGTCCTGACAAGATTCAGGGATTGAATTAGGAATTACATCATGTTTATCTGGTTTGGACTTGGACACAGTGAAGGTTCAAATTTTTGTTATGATCCAGTAAATACAAAGGCGTGGATTAGCTATTCACATATTTTTAAAAACAAAACAGTTTTACTATGTCCTATAAATAAGCACTGGCCATGAAGTATATGTGTGTATTAGTGTGTAAGTGCAACTAATCTCCTGATGTGATAGCAGCAATTCCTGAGGTTTTTTTTCTATTCTACAAAGGCATTCTACTGACAGCTGTGGCAGCTAAACCTGCCAATTATGTTGTGCTAAAAAAGTAATGCTGTAAAAGCAACAAAACAAATGTTTCATTGTTGTCCAATAGTCATAAAAGTGAGTGATTTGGATTAGACTGTCTTTTCTAGGTTGTGAACATTTGTTCAGTTTAATAGTTTTATTGACAGTGTAGAATAGCTGAAGGTAAATAAGGTTCTCTATGTCAGGTCTGGACCCCAGCCAGTTCAAGGCTCAACAGCAGTACCAGAGAGAGGAGGAGGCCGACACCACTCTGGGGGCCTCGTTCCAGCTGACGGACGAAGAGCGCTTCAAAGACTGCGAGAGGTTCACTTTCACCTGCCCTCAGTGTGGCACCGACAACATCTACGACAGTGTCTTTGAAGGAGCTGTAAGTAAATGAGTGTCCACAAAACATCCTTCCTGTGTTTTTTTTACTTACAACTTTCTGAAGTATACACTTGGTTATTGTGGTCCTTCTCTTCACTGAATCTTTCTCTCTTTTTCTTCGCAATGTTTAGATGTGATTGTCTTTGAAAATGCCCACAGTCATCAGTTTTCATACAGCTTTTCCCATGCACCATTGCAAAAAATTCACATCAGAAAAATGCACAACACACCACTAAACCAAAATGTCAAATGAACTTCATGTTTCAGTTTGCTCACAATTTACTTACTCAGAGTGAAACCTGGGTCTGTTTAGTTGAACACAAGGCTGATATACTGGCAGGAATTCAAGAAAGAAACACAGATGATATTCTGACCATGAAATGTACTTGGCTGCAAACAGATTTGCATTTTTTTTAACAAAAAAAACAATCTACCATGTACCTGACCATTACCTTTATGATTTTAGATTTGTGAAAAATCCTACATCAACAATTTATAAATGTTTTCTTCTGTAGAATATTTCAGAGAATGTGACGCCACACCTAGTGATATTATGACTATTATATTATTATTATTATTCATATTTTACATACATGTTTTTATATAGAACAGTGTATCCATATACAAAAAGTAAAAATATACAGCCTCTGTCACTAGCGATGTAATAAACCCATCTCCATCAACACAGATATAGAGATTGAGTGATTTTGCCCACTCACACCTCATGATGGACACACTTTGGTCATCCTCTATATTGTGTCTGTGTCTGTATTTTTAGACAGCTGCCTGGCTCCGGCACCGACTGTTTTCATTGGCATTGTTTGGACTCCACAACTTGAAAAGCTTTGCTTTTAACCCCTGCAACTTCACACACACACACAGACACACACACAGATCTCCAGCCATTTGTCAGGTCAAGGTCGGGAGTGTGTCTGTGGATGTATGTTTGTTTGTATGTATGTGTGTGTGTGTGTGTGTGTGTGTGTGTTATCAGCCTTTTCTTGTCTGGAAGACACTAATAAATCTGACAACCCTCTGTCCTCTGCTGGTGCACAGAGCAGAAAAAGGGCTTCACAAAAGGATAGTATTATGATGGACCATTAAATTAAATGAAGCAGGTGTTTAGTGATGAACCATAAAGTTAAAAACATCTTTTACATTAACATTATTATTTTCCACACAATACAGCTAAAACTTCAACGTCAACATGTAAAAACCTGACATTTTGGGGGTGGGGGTTTCCATATTTTTAGACAAAATCTGAGAGAATTCATCTGATTTGATACAACACTGCTTATGTATATAATCATCTGCCCACACACAGAGAAACTGATAAGACAGTTAGTTAATTAGAGTGTTGAACAGGGTCTAACGGCTCAGTGAGAAGATGGGAGGACAGATGGGCCTTGACTCCAGCGCTGACACCGAGCCAGTGATGGTAGGAGGAAGGAAAGTAGGAGGTGAAGGAGGATGATGGAGGACAGACGGACAGAGGAGGAAAGATGTTTGATGAGGAAGGAGAGATAATGATAAAAAAGAGGAGGGGGAATGAAAATATTTCGAAGGAGCTGCAGGGGTGACGTTTAACTTTTAATTGGGCGTCAAACTTGAAAGCAGACGTAATATTTTTAGTCTGGGCTGAAAACGGTCTGATCAGACAGCTGACCTGATGGGTGGGATTCAGACAACACGCAGGAACACGAGAAAAGAAACAACTCTGTGTTATCAGAATTTAATTTATTGAAATGGATCAAGTTATTGAATCTAAGTGTTGGTTGTATCTTGTTTGGGCGGGCGAGTTTCTCTCGTCTAAATCAAATTTGGAATGGAATGAGATAAAGGAGAGAAAAGGGAGGATATTATGGAGAGAGGAGAAGGGCGGATGCTGTTGTAGAAAAGAGAGTGAATGTTAGAGCTGCGATTTGAGATTTATTTCTTTTTTCCCCCTAATAACCGGAACGAGTTAAGAAAACAAAAAGAGTCTCTGTTAGAGCGGGATGTCACGTGCACGCGCCTGTGGCACTGACTCACCTGCAGAGACCTTTTCTGCTGCTATCAATGTGACAGTTAAATGGAGCCCGGGTTGAAAGGAGCAAGTGTTTAAAGCTGTTATATTTAGTGAAAGTGTTAAGTACTGCGGCCACTTCTTTACTACTTTTTTTTTTCTTCATTACATTAACTATAAGTCTTGCTGTCAGATAGAGCGTTCAGGAGAGCCGAGGTCACACTGCCCTGTTTTCTTCAGGCTGCAGTAATGTTAAAACTTCCCAGACCCTGCGGTGCTTCAAACCTCTACTCCCTCACCCTGACAAGCTCTTTGTTGAGGTGTTTTTTAAAGCTAATGGCCATGTTTCTGTGTTTTGTAAGTGTTTTTTTTGTACTTATGGAGTTAAAATTTGCAGATGTGATGCATCCCAAAGCAGATATGGTAATATTTATGCGCAGTTGTTACACTGCCAGAATCTGAGGCGACTTCAGTGAAGGCATCCCACTGACTCTACTAACTCAACATCTAAACGAGTGCAATGAGACTTTTTCACACGCCTTTATTTTCGTCAGATTTTTACCGTTTTGATTTTATATTGTCTCCATAAATATTCATCATTGTTACCGTTGTTCACCATATGGAAAATAATCATAAATGATCATCCTCCACATGGTGGGATAAAATATTACTTACCCCCAGCTCCCCAACGTTTTCCCATCTTATTTATTTGGAGTAAATTAAGAACTTGATGTCTGCAAAAAAATACACCAAAAAGTTTGGACAGGAATAAGTCACTTTCTTGCACATATTATTATATTAATATATATTAATCAATGCTGAATGGTCCGCAACTGGGTTCCAAAATAAATATCGTTTGATAATGTCAGACAAAAATTTGATTTTTATTTCATTTTCTTTGAGTGTCCGGCCACCAAGATGTCTAGAAAATTTCTGGCCCTCTGACAAATACAGTTGGTGACCCCTGTTGTAGATGGCGTTAGAAACTACTACTGTCAGAAGTAACGTTGACGTTTTTTCCTCAACAGGGCTCAAAGCTGGAGCCCAGCTTGTTGCGTTGCTGTCACGTCTCCTGTGGAAGCCACCCAATCGACTACGTGGCCAACATCAGCAACAAACTTGTCCTCGACATCCGTCGGCACATCAGGAAATACTACTCTGTGAGTATATTCAGTATCTGTTCACCTTAGATATTTATATTTACACCTGCAAGACCTCAAATGGATGCCGATAGCCAGTGGAAAAACACTTTTTATATTTAAGACAAACACGAGAAAATACTGCTTTATTATTGAATTAACAGTGTTGTACCTGGCAACATAAAATTCCTCCTGAGACTTTTTCATATAATGTGAAAACCAAGTAACAGAATAAACAGTATATCAGCAGTAGTTATCCAATGGCAAGACATTCTTCACTAAGTTAAATAGGCTTTGGTTTATTTAGAGCTGAGCCACAGGTGTCAAAGCTGTTACAACTGGTGCAAACTGACCTTCCACTAAGTGTTGTACAGTAGTTAACACCCCGAGAGGATGCAACGGATGTGGTGCCGGTGAGAGAAGCTATCAAGAGGATTATCCTCAGCAGGACCATGTACTGACATTTTCAACCAAAGTGCAGGTTATGGTAGTTAAATCAAAGTGAATAACACACAGGATTTTAGCAGCACGCCACAGAAGAATACTTTAATGTCCAGCCGGTTGAAGGTGATGCTAAAATGAATGTGACGTGACGCATGGAAAGATTTTATGATATTTATATAATGAAAAAGGCAAATATCCAAATAAAGATACACCTGCAGGAGTTGGTGGTTCAGTCTTTTCCAATTCTGTGACCCTACTAGTAAACTAAAAAGTTGAAGTTAATTCAACTTTTTCTTTTTTTAAAACTTTTTATTAAATTTAGCAAAAACATGTTTTCTCTCTCTCTCCTTCTGTCTAACCCTTTCTCTCTCGCTCTTTCTCCCTCTTCGGTAGTTTCTAACACCTTGGTCTTTTAAGAGGAATGCACTGTTTGTAAAAGTGTGTGTGTGTGTGTGTGTGTGTGTCAGGGTTACTCTCCCACAGTGCTGAACAGAAATCAATTAGTGCACTGAATGTGCAGGGAGCGGGTTCCCCCCTCATCCCCTTTGTCAGGATGTGTGAAACAGCTGCTACCAGCGAATACTTACACCTAACACGGCAACACACACACACTCACACACAGCAGTGGACACAGCACAAACAGTGCAGCAATGAAGAGGGGTAATATTGTGTAATTAAGGATTCCTTTCAGGCCCAGGGAGAGTTCAAATAGAGCTGTTTGTCTGGACAGATAGAGTCAGAGAGTGTGTGCGTGTGTGTGCACGCGCATACTTGTGTACGTGTGTTGGCAGTGGCACCACACAGACATTAATCATTTGTAATGTCCTGCCCATCCACACTAATATCAATAAAAATCACCCTGAGATTCAGCAAACACCTCTCTCTCTCTCTCCGTGTCTCTCGTTGTCTCTCTCCCCTCTGTCTTTCATTTTCTCTCTTTCTTCCCCTCATCTTGCTGTTTTTGGCATATTGAGAGATTGGCTTGTTTCCTGACACCTCCCAATTCTTCTTTTCTGCCCCCCTCCCCGTGCACCCCCACTTTTTAAACCCCTCCTATCTAACCACCGTTGCCATGGCATTTAACAAATTATTGCAATTACCCTCGTCATGTGGGTCGCCCCTGGAAACGGTCTGAGGGGCAAGGGAAGAAAGAGGGGGGTTAGGGGGCGAGAGAAAAGGGAGAATGAAGACCAGAGAAGGTGATAATCCTGTTTTGAACAAAAGGTCAAATTGTTGAATAGAGGAGCTTTGATTAAGCGGAGGAGGTACAAAGTGGAACCGTTTGAGCTTTATTCACTCTCTGTGTGTGTGTGTGTGTGTGTGTGTGATTGAGAAGTAGACTGATTTTTAGGTCCATTCACTTTAGAACTGAAAGTGTTGACTGCTGAGCTCTTTTATGGGCACAGATTCCTCTGGAACTGGAATCACGTCTTCTTTCCTGCATTTACTGTGAGAATTACTTTTTTTTCATCTGCAACTTTTTGTCTCCAACGTCTTGTGTTGTAGATAAATAAATGTTATTGGACGGATTGATGGTTGCTGAAAATTATTTCTTATGGGTCCTCAATTTTTGAGTCTAATCCCATACACTGTAGAACCTGCTCAGTAGGATGAGGAAAGTGATTGACCGTGTATTCTAAATATTGGTTACGGCCATAAGTTCATAGATCATGTATAGAAAATAGTCATAACGACCTCAGTTCATTAGTAAAACCTTTGAAATTGACAAAAAAATTCACAGAAGAGTGGGAGAAGGAGTTCCTTTTTCCTTTGCCTTTCTTTGAACCCTTCCTGTCATTCCTCTACATATTCCTGCCAAAGTTAATTTTTCACGTCAAATTTCCCCTTTTGTTCAGTTTAATTTTCTAAAGTGGTTAAATTAAGGTCGTAACTTCTTCAACACAACAGAGAGAGCTCTCTGGATCTCTTATTGTGATTGGATAATAGTCCTGCCAGCATGTTTAGCTTCATTAATGACATCATCATTTTTGAAGCACAGTTCAAAAACCATATTAACATTAACGACCAGTACACCTGTCTGAACGAGCAGGTACAAAATAGGAAACGTTTTACTGATTAAAAAGAAGAAGAAATACCCAGCAGAGAGTTTAGAAAATAAAAAAAATCTGATAAGCGTGTGCTGAAGTCGTGCCTTGGTCTCGCCTCTGTTTGGTTAAATTACATGGAAGTCATTCGACGTCTCCATTCAGTGTCAGATATCCACTGCTGTAATTATGTAATTATGAGGCTTTATTCTCCTGCATGTGACTGTACCCCTCCACACCAACCCCCCCTCCACACACACACACATACACACACACACACACACATCCCCATCCCTCCTCGTTGCCCCCTCCACCAAACATCTCAGTTAAGGTTTCTGTTTTGTTTTTTTCTACTCCATAGTTTCCTGTATTCATGTGTGTGTATTTACACACACTGACTGCTTCACTACATCTTGCATTCGCCACATTGTTAAAACATGGTTTGTGTTACAGTTGCAAACCAGAGTGGCATTGTGGGTAATTTTTCTTTCTTTTAAGCCTTTTTTTAAACTATTTAAGAGTGATACCCTTGAATAGGAACCAATTAAATGATCTGTGTATTCATGTGTGTGATCAAGTGTCCTTGATCAAAAAAAATCTGAATTTGCTCCACTTTGTTTAAGCCACAGAGAGAGACATTTGTGGTTTTTTTGCGCGACTAACTTTTGTTTTTTGTGTATTTTGCAGTAAGTGTCCAGAGAGTTTGAAAGGCATGAAAGGCACAGTCAGAAATACACTTCAATGCACTACATTTGTCTGAGAAGAAAGGAAAAAAATAATCCTTGCTGTTCATTTCTTTTTAGCTCAAAACTAATCAAGAAAAGAGACAAAGACAAATGTAAAAATCAATCAGATGTTGTGTAGATATAGGGTGGGGTGGGGGGTGTTGTGAGAAGGGCAGGTGCAGTAGTTTTGAGGGGTTTATTTTGGAATGAATAGAAAGATTGAGGAGGAAGGAAGGATAGACGGATGGATGGATGGATGGATGGAGGGATGACTGGAGCCGAGGCTTTGATAACGGTGGGTCTGATCCTCTGTCATTAGTTGGGCATTAACCCCCTCCCCTTTAAATCACCCTCAGTAATGACAGGGCAAAAGAAGCAGAAGGGGGAGGAGGGAGTCTGGAAGAATACGGGTAGATTGAGAGGGTTATACCACAGCACCTGCCCAGGGTCACTGCCTCGCCCCAGGGGGTCCTAACCACTGCAGTTTTGGCCGTCCACTGCTCTGCCTGTCTGACGAGCACCTCCAGAGCATGCATTTAAATGTAAAGAGACAGGAGGGGTGTAATGTAGAGACAGTTTCCGACTTCTCTTCCGTCCTTGTCCCTCTCCCTTCACCTGTCCCTGGCAGTTACTTTTTCAATGTTTTTTTTGCTGCAGCCCTTCACTTCTTTTCTTGTCACAGTTTTGTGCAGAATTACAGCACCTAAATGGAAGGAACAATTTTCAGCAACATTTTCCTCATTACTCCAAACAGTTTTTAAAGTGTTTTGAGCCCACAATAAGTTTTATTTATACTATAAATGTTTGGAAAATACCTCTATCTTGTCTATTGACAACTAAAACGCTCACATGAACAACAGTCTTAACTAGTCAGTGAATGAAAGTCATGTGTTTTGTTACTTCGTTCATGAAACGTACAAGAATTGAAAGTTTTCCAGGTGCACTTCGCTCGTGTTACTACAATGTGTTTAACGAAAATGCCTTTTTCTGTCTTTATGGACGGCCGAGTATTGTTCCAGAGTACATGTAAAGCACTTCAAACAAAACAAATACAAATACATATTTTTTAAAGCAACTGGTCTGAACTTTTCTTTTTAACACTAATATTAAACTGTCATTTAATTTATTGAACGTGAAACTGAGAATTCATCCAACAGTCGACCAGGATCTGTTAACTGTCAGCATTAAATAAAATGAGACAATCGTGTTTTTTCCTCAGCCCAACACTGTGTTTCATCAAGTATTTTTTTATTTTCCTGGCTGTCTCACCTGTGTCCAATGTGTGTCTCCAATCAGGGCTGGTTGGTGTGTGAGGACCAGATGTGTCAGAACAGGACCAGACGTTTGCCCATTGCCTTCTCCCGCCATGGACCCATCTGCCCCGTCTGCACCAGGGCAACTCTCCGACCTGAGGTAAAACACACACACACACTGTACTTTTAGCGTTTAGTGTGACCACATATTGGATCTATACATTTTGTCCAGGTGATGGTGCTATGGAGCTGAATCTCTCCTCGCTGCTCTGTGCATCTCTGCTCATTAGTATCACGTTACAACATCTATATGTTCTGAAAGGATCAATCTTTTCTTGTCTTACAGCTTTTGTTTTGTGCTTGTGATGTTATGTCCGTACTAACACGTGTGTGTGGGTGTGTGTGTCAGTTGTCCACTCAGAGCTGTATGGTAGTTTAGCCATTAAAAGCATCTGTCCGTTTCAGTGACCTTATAAACACTGTGTTAGTTTGACGACTGGATTTAAAAGTAACAAGCACTCCCTCTCAATTTGAGCCAGATGTTCAATCTGTTTTTCATGTCATCTTTCGTGTTAGTCCTGTCTAAACCCTCGCCTCTTTGCTTTTTGTCACTTTTTATTTTTTTATTTTTTTTTATTTTAAACCCTGTGTCCTCTGCTCCTGTCCATCCTCACCGGCTGCTTTGCCGTTTCTGCCTGTGTGGCGACAGGTTGTAAACCAGAAAGCCAATTTCTGCTGTCGCTCTCTGGCCACTTACTCCACCATTGCTCTGTCTGAGGGCCGTGGCACTTTCAACTGTGGGCTGAATAAAACATTTAACTCTCTGCGCTTACTCATGCTGCCTTCCTGCACCATAAACCTCACAGCGTGTCCTCATTTTACCTGCTCTTTGTCCCAGTCATTAATGATGGAAAACTGACTTAATCAACACAGCGGAAGTAGCAATTTTTTTTTCTTCTTTTAACTTATTTGCCATTTTTTTAAAAGAATGTCAGTCAATGACATTTTTACAGGTGAGATATAATTACGGAATCTCATGAAGTTGTTTAAAGATTTTTGATTTTTACATTGTGGAGTGTGGGATATAGTGGTGAGTGGGAATGCAGTTCTGCATGTTTGTAAATGTTTGACTCCATCACACGTGAAAAACAAAATGTTTCAGTTACTTTTAGGACAAAACAAACCCCATAAACTTAGTTATATATATATACTGTACATATACAGGGTATTGGTGTTTTTCAACATGTAGTTGTAGTCATGTCATGTAGTCACCTGGAATTCAATTTCAGGTATAGTAATTGTTTAAAAAAGTGCTGATAATTTTTTTTCAACTAATTATTTGTTTTAAAATTATGATTAAAAGCACCACACACAGCCTTAGAGAGTCTGTATAATTTTACATTCAGGAATATAAATTGAATTGAAATAAAAAAGCAGCATATAACATTTTCTGAGCTGGGGCATCTTGATTGACGGCTGCGATTTCAGCTGTGAAGGATTATAAAGTGGAATAAAAGTTAATCGGTCGATAACTTTCCTTTTTTACCATTGTTGTCTGGATCAGGTTGTTAATGGAGATTATTAGCCCAGCATCTTATAAATGAAATTGCTGCCAATTATGCAAAGTAGTCAAGAGGCCATTGGCTGGTGGTAGATGGTTGTTTGTGAAACCAGTGGAGGAGGTTTAGGAGACGTCCAGCAGCCCACTCTGAGATGTTAGGGTTTTTTATTTTAACAACGATGAAAATAAGTTTACATTTTTAGAAACTCTTTCTCATTTTGGCTGCTCTGTGCTTAAGATGTGCCAATTTGATGGCAGATCAGCCAGATAGGCAATCAGGCTTCTGTCAGTCTGTGTGTGTGTGTGTGTTGGGGGGGGCGCCAAAATGTACTTGTTTGTGTCAGAGTCTTGTTTGACTTTGCTCTTTTCTCTCCTTCTCTACGCTACATGTACTATCAGTATCCCCCCTTGTTCCTCTCCTTTCCTTCCCTCTCCTCTCATGTCCTGATCTCTCCTTTCCATCGTCTCTCTTACCTCCAATTCTCTCTCTCTATTTTCCTCCCTTCCTCTCTGGACACAGATTTAGTCTGATCTGATCTCCATGTAATCGGAGAGTAATAGGCACTCTGCCTTGATTGGCTGGTAATTCTGGGGAGTTATGCACAGGTGCAATTTGTAATATTTTCAGTAAATTAAATTTCTCTCTCTCCTTCTCTCCTTTCCTCTCTGTTTCACTCTCTCCTCTCCTCCCTCATTCCCAGCACCTTAACTCCAGTAATCCTGTTTTTCTCCTGGCCCGTCTCACATCTTTGTCCTGACTTTTTTTCCTCCTCTTTTTTTATTTTGTGCTTTCTTCTGCCTCTGCTTATTTCTTTTCATTTTCTTCCCCTACCCTGCCCTCCCCCTTAGCTCTTGCATTCATTCTCTTTTTTTCTTCTTACTCTCCTCACCCTCCCTTTTCTCTCTGTCTCTCTCTCTCCTCGTTTTATTGATGTACGCTCGGGCGCCCATTAGAGCTCCCTTTTTCCCTCTAGTGGAAATTGCAGCATGTTAATTTTCACACAAATTACGGCAATAGCAGGTATCTCTATTTGATACATTATAGCGGGAGCAATCAGAGATAATTGAGTGCCTTTCAGAGGGAGACGGCTGCATTCACTGCCAGCTCAAAGCTGCCCCATTATCGCCTAATCGCTCTTTAAACACTGAATTTTGCCGAACAAAAATTCTTGTCATAATTTTGCTTAAGTGTATTTGGAAATCACAGTCCTTTGAGTGAGGATAATTGAAATCAAATCCCTTTCACTGGAGCTGACATTTCTACATTTCCCCCCAATTGAAATTAATTTCAAAAATTGAGCATGAATATCTTCAAATAGCAGGCAATTATGCCTTTCAATGGGGAGAAATTACCGGTGCTGAATCATTGGAGGCTTGCGGGCGAGAGCACCAGTTAAATGCCTTTGTTTCCTGCCGTGTTTGCCTAGTAAAGATTTACATATATTGACTCATTATGGTGTCTTGTGAAGCTGATCGGCTGTGACTAACCACAACCGGCAATAATGCTCATCGCCGGCTTTAAAAAAAAAAAAGCTCAAGAGTTTCAAAGCTGCATGGCCTCACAGCTGAGGGGGAAAAATGTATGTTTGTTTCTCCCCCTACTTCTCTCCCACTCTCTGCTTTCTGCAGCTGCAGTCGTGTGATATTAGCTCTCGTATTGTGGCTCCAGTGTTTGCAGCGTGGTGTTTATCTAAGCTGAAGAAGAGTGTGTAACGCTGAGGCCTTGTTGGTGTCTTTCTTCGGTGCGGTGGTGGAGCATTGTGGCTGTAACCTCTCGGTGGCCTCTCTGTACTCCTCACCCATTCTTAGAGCTGTTTTTTTTCCTCCTCTGCTTTTAACCGCTTCACACATGTACCTGAGTGACACTACAATGCACTACAGTTACCAGGTGGTCAGACGTTTGTACTCTGATGTGCACAGACTGGTGATTTTTAAGACTCAGGAGAAGACTTGACGACTCGATTTTGCTGCCCGAGACTTTTTACGTTGTTTTGTTGTCATTTGGATCAGTTTGTCTGATCTGGAGTCCTTGTTGCTTGAAGTTAAAATACACACCAAAAATACTTAGAAAATGTAGTTTTAGGATCAAAGGGGTCAAAACATTTTTAACATATATTTTTTATATACGTTGCTGTGGGCTGCCCTGCAGTTGTGTGTATTTTTTTATGTACAATCTATGTTGTGTCCATGCAACAGGGTGCATGCCTGCAGGTGGAGTCGGTCAGGGAAACATGGGAGGCAGAGGGAACGTGAGGTGGGGGGCAATCAAGGGGGGAGGAGGGTCGACACTCCCGAGAGAGAGGCAATTTCACAGCTGGTTTGCTCCTCACGCAGTCAGGCTGAAAATGCTGCAGATTTGTGGAGCAAATTGAAATGGTGTCAGTGCGGGAACAAAGCAGCGAGCTGAATGACGAGGTAGGCGTGTGTGTGTGTGCGTGCGTGTGTGTGTGTGTGTGTGCGTGCGTGTGTGAGGTGGGGTTGAGGGGCCTTAAATTCAATAACAACCCTGCAAAAATTAAGCCACGCCTTTCTGACACCTGTCAATCAGAATGCAACCGCTGGTCCCGCCCACAATCAGCAATATATTGTTCAAACGTGCACACACTCGTGCACGCGCAGATGCCTCTGTGTGTGTGTTATTCGGAGGTAAAAGCGATGTGCTGTGTTTGTGCCTGACGAAGCCTGTTCAACCTTGGCAACCGTAAGCGAGGCTCCATTATGGGATGGATGCGCATGGTTTGGTCGTCCGGACTCAGCAGCACGTCCGCGGTCAACAGCTGTGGGAGCCGTGTGAGCAGCCAGAGCCATTAACTCACCCACTGATACTCGCACTTCACAGAGTTTACGTTGAGCCACATTAGATGCTCTTGCCACTTGATTATGCCGCAGTAGTAAAAACTGAAATTACAATTACGCACATGGAGGATTGGCAGGTATAATGGGCTCACACAAACTCACATCCCACTCTCTGACACACACACACACACACAAATTGGGGGATTCTTCCTGGTGGTAATAACAAAGCACTCGGCACACACCTGATGGCAGTGTGGGGTCGAGGCTTAGCGTGCCCTCTCCAGCATAGCGGGGAAATGACGAGCCAATAACTGCAATTAAACATGCAGTATAATGGCTAATCAAATTGACAGCCTCGGCTGTTCGCATGCCTCTCTCACAATGGCTTATCACAACAAACTATTATGAGGGAGGGTATTTCAGGACCGATCTCTCTTCTCTTTCTCTCCCACACCGTCTGACTCTCTCCATCTCTCGCTACTTTCCGACTCTTTCTCCTCTTCTCTCTTGAGCTCTGTTCTTCCTGTTTGCCTCCCACCTCTCCGTCTTTGCTCGTCGTCTTCGCCTCCTCCCTCTCTCTTCCTCCCTCTCTGCTGTCGTGTGGCTCCAGTTAATTGTGGTGGAGATTAACAAAGCATGCAAATTTGTTTTTCTTGCGGCACCGTGTCACACAGAGGAAGGGAGATGTTTTCATGGAGGTTTCAGTCCTATGGCTGGGGTGCACATTTGTGGAGTCGCGTCCAATCAGCGTGTTTCTCAAACTGTAAACCGTGTTTATTCATCTGTTTGGGATGCTTTCACTCCCCGCCATGAACTTGACTCTGCTCTTAATGGATGAAAATAATAGGAACTAATAACCTGTTAATGAAGGGTTTGATAGCTGTGCTCGTCTGCCTGCATGGTGTGAAGATTGTGGGAAGATAATAACACAGTATTTATACCAAGTTAGCACAATCATTAAAGTCTAAAGCTGCAGAACATCCATCCATTTAAATATTCTTCATCAACCAAATATTTACCCACTACTTGGGCTTTCTTTGTCCCTGCTGCATGAAACAAGTAGCAGATGTGACTTTTGGCTTATGTTTCCACTACATTCCTCTCTCTTTTTTTTATTTTATTTTTTTTAGTCACATGATGCAATGGATTAACTTCACACTACCCTGGATCTAAGCCCTAACTAACTAAAACATAAAACTCGGGTTTTATCTAAAACCGGGTACCGTGGTTGGTAGCCTTGTTCGTTTAAATTAATCATAAATAAATGTAAAGACTAGCAGCCTATTTGCTTTATATTAAATTGTTTTTTAGAGCATCATATGTATCTGAGAACATCCCCATTATCGTTTATAGTTTGACCAAACCAGTCCACGATGAAGCAAGAAAACAGGCAGTGATTAGTTGCCAAAGACAAACAATATCTGTAAAGGAGACATGCCAAGATGGAAATGTCATTTGCTTCTGTTCTGAAACTTAAATGAAGGAAATCATCAGAAATAGCATTGTTAGTAGAAGATGATGTTCTTCAACAGTCTCTTTGACTGAATGTCTAACACAGTGTTCTCTCTGCAGTACTCTGAAAAGGCCCTGTACAACCAGTTGTGCTTCTACAAATTCATCTTCGACTGGGACATCGCTGCTGCCAAAGTGCAAACTGCTGAAGAAAAAAGTAAGTCCTCTCACACACACACACACCTCAGAGAAGGAAATTTTTTCTTTATTCATCACTGCAGTAGTTGTAACAACAGACACTGCACTTTTAAATAATACCTCATTTTTGTCAATGGCTATTTGTGTTGTTACTGGACACAACAATATCTTTGAAATGAAAAATCAAGTTTCTCAAAGTTTGCACTTTGATGTGACAATGCTTCCTTTCAAATACACAAGCGCACGTACAACATAGCATTAGCAATCAATGAGTCAACGTAACCCATTTACCCAGGCTGCACTTATAATATTCACCAATGATGTGACAAGCACACGAACACCAGTAAGGCAGTATGGGTATTGGATAGGGGGAAGGGGGGGTTAAGGACATTCAGCTCCTCGAGTCGACAGCCCTAATTTAGGAGACGGATTCAATCACACACACATACAGAATGCAAAACGCTCCAATCACCGCAAGAAAGCAGGAAAGAGCCCTCCATCGCTCTGCCTTTACCCTACCCTCGCTGACCATCCCCGCCGCCTGCTCTCCCTGCCTCTCTCACCCGCTCTCTCTCCCTCTCTTGGACAGGCACTCGTTTGGCTGTGTTGATTGAAAACAGGTTTTAGATTTGGGGAAATGATAGGGGGAGTAATGGGCGCGCTGACGAAAGGATAGCCCTTCTCCTATAATGGGACATGGAGCGTATATTTCCCCCCTTGGACTCAAATAGACGCTACTCCAGCGATCTGGGCGCGCTCAGTAGACGTCGGGGCCTCTTTACCCATAGTTCTCACTGATTGATGTCACTTGATTAGAAAGGGCCGCCGGGCCGAGTGTTTTATTTATTTGATTAAATATTCATGTATGTATGTTGTTTATGTATGCGCACCTGAGTACGGCCAGCGTGTCTGCTGCAGGCCGGACTTTGAGTAAGGCAGCCGTGAAGTGAGATGGCGGAGGTAAATATAACGTGTAATCAACAGATGACCACTCAGAAGGTGGAGATGAAATGGATGGATTGAACCGTGGTGGAGGAGGAAGGAAAGGGATGGAGCACTAACATGATTATAGCCTCCATTTTTTGCTTTCTGTTCTTTTTTCCTTCCTTTGTCGAGGCGTAGAAAATCATCCACAATCAATGCTACTTTCTTTATGTTTCTTTACTTTTATGGTGTTTGATGTAGCCCACACTTTCACTTACCTACAAAGCCTAACAGCCAGAGAACACACTGCAATCTTCGCTTTGTGGTGCAGCCCTAGGAATAGCTGTTTGCAGATTAGCCCGCAAAGAAAAAGCAAACAGCTCCCTGCCTTCGCTGCATGCATCCACCATGTGTATGTTAGTGGTGGAGCAGTTTAGCTTGTAAACACTGTCTCGTACACAACTCTGTAATGGCCTGTTACAAGTCCAATTTCAAGGTTAGACTACAGCTGAGGTTCACAGCGTCTTCTGCCCAAGACGATCTTTTAACAAACTGACAGACAACTGACCATAAAACTGCACACTGAAATACGCAGAGAAGGTTTTGACAAAGGACTTTTATAATTTTTGTTGTTGTTATTGTTGTTGTTTGAGGAATGTCGCTTGCCTTTTGCTCATTTTAAAAACTCTGCAGTAACGCCCACATGTAGGTGAGAGTGCAGTGTGTGAGCGATAACTGCTGCATTACATTCAGAAAAAAGAAGAAAAAAAACAGCTGTTAATTATGTTTCTGCATTAATGTGTGCTCAGGTATAATATGCCTGGCTCTTGTTTCCATTATTATATTAACAGGAAAAATACAGATATTGATATTTGCTGATATGATTTCATGTTTGCACACAATTCAAGCGAGATACTTGAACAAGAAAAGTAATATATCCAGTAATTATTACACCACATGATACACAGTGGGTGTTGGACGTGTCAGTAACTCTTCAATTGGCTCCATCTCATTGTGTTTTGTAACTCGGCGTCGACACCAAAACAAAGCATCCGACACACGTCGTATATTAGTCCTGTGACGTGCAGGACAATAACATATGGAGACGCACACTCGTGCTGACAGAAAATGTAGGTTTACGGTGTTATCCCTCTATCGGGGACAGTAATACCCCATATTACTGCATTACACACCCTGGGGGCACAATGCTCAGATTACAGGCAAGAGACATACAATCCTATGCACACAACCCTACACTGTCTTGTGTGTCAGTATATTATTGTACACTGGGGGACAGACACACGAATAAAATGAAATAAAAATCACCTTTTTGTCTAACAGAACGTAAATAGATTCATAAACGATGAGTATTACTGATAGTTGTTTTGCTCGCAGTTGTTATGTTCAGTTGTTTCAATAGTGGGGACCACACGATCTTTGCTCCCATGGGCCACTCGGTGATGACCTAGAGTGTAGTTCAGTTCCATAGTTTCACATAATTGACAGTTATATTGTCTTGCAGGAAGTTGATCTCACATTTACCAGACACTTCCAAATTATTGTATCAATTGGTAAAATGGCACTTAACAAAAATTTTAAAATAAATCAGTAAATGTTAGCGAGCTTAGCAGATTAGAAAAAGCATACAATTATCCAAGAAATGGGTAAAAAAAATGGTGGAAATTTTGTTCCGTTAAAAGTGAGACCAGGAATATCGGGACTTGTCACTGATGCCGTTCTATATTATCTTTTATTGATAACAGACAAGAAGTCTTGAGTAAATGTGGCAGTTTGTCTCATTAACACGGCTGTTTCTCATGCAATACGACCCATGTAACTAGAGGTCACACACATTCAGCAGTGGTTTCCATCTTTGGCCTTTACAAACAGATTTGTCCTTATTCCTTCAATCATAGTCTTACTGCGTGAAGGTGTATGGTATTAAAAATGGCCAAAATAAGGCCGTAATGAACAGGTAGGAATGTTACTGTAGGTCTGATTATCATGACTATGAATGACACTGTCAGGAAGACGAAGTGGCAGTAGACTGTACTGCAGAAGTAACGCGTCTTTGGTTCTTTGATTGGATTTATTTTAGATTGAAAAGAAACAGAATGTCAGCCGCTTTACTTTTGTTTTTAATTCGCTACTGTTTACTTGAACTTTAGTCAAAAGAAGTGCTGCCTTTGCTGCCATTTAGTTATGTTGATATCTGGTTATTTATGGTTCAGCGGGTCGCTCACGACTATATTTATGTGTTCAGAACATGCATAATCAAGCAGGTCTAAGTAGAATAGCTTTACATAAAATGAATCAAAGTCTGAGCTGAATGTATTTTGATATGCTAGATTGTGTGTGTGGGTGTGTGTGTGTTCTCGGCAGTTTTATTTACTCTGTGAGTTTGTGCCCGTGTGAGTCTTATCTACATGTACATTGCATTTTTGTGCCTGATTGCTGCGACTGAGTAAAACATGGAGGTAATTTCAGCCGCTGCAGGAGATCTCTAATAGATTATTCAGGCACACGCACACACCGAACACACACGCGCACACACATCCACATTGTATTTTATTGTGAACACTTCACAGACATAAAACATTCCCTAGCGCTTACCCTTAATCATTACAAATACATTCATAATCCTACACTTTATCCTAACCTTAATCTGACCCTAATTCTAATCCTAACTCCAAACTACTTTTTGAACCTTGAAAATACCCCCACAAAGATGAAGTGTCCCCCATTTTTCCTACAAAAAAAGATCCCCACAAGTACAGCCATACCAGAAACAAACAGCCACAAACCCTTCCTCCACTGGAAACATCCTGTATCAATGACTTCCAAATAATTTCATGTCACCTTTCTTTTTTTTTTTTTTTGACTCCTGCTCCCTCCTTTTTTCTCCCTCTATCCTCTCCCTATCTCCTGTTTTCTCTCCCCTCTGTCACTCCTCCCCTCCAGGTCTACATCTCTAGTGTGGGCAGCATGATTGCAATGTGTGAGCAATAATGTAATTTTGCCGCATTGATAAAATATAAATTGTCCTTGAGCTGCGCTTTTTCTAATGATCCATTTACCGACATCTTCCCTGCCACCTCTCAGCGCTCTGCATTTAGTCCTCGTCTTCCCTCCCACTCCTCCTTCTCTCCACTCTCTCTCTTTCTTTCTTTCTCTCTCTCTCTCTCTCTCTCTCTGTCTTCCACCCTCCCTTTCTCTGGCGACACAAAGCAGGGTGGCAAAATCTGCGGGTGCGATTGTCAAATCAATTATTCATTCTGTGCAATTACACTCACACAAAGAAGTTTCCCTGTGCTCCGAGTGGTGATTAAATTAACTGCTATTCCAGCTGCCCGCCGCCACCAGCCTAATAGAATATTCATGGAGGCGGCCGACGGAATGGCCGATCTCCATTAACTTCATCATGCTCACTTAATTACAGGCTTGTTATTGTATTTACACCTAGTTAGAGCGTGCAGAGCCCTGATCTACTTGTGCCCAGCATCGCCAGCGTGCACGAGTGTGTGGCAACACCTAGTTAAAGCACAGATAACCCCTGATACATGCACTGCGTGAGTGTGTGTATACAGTTATTAGTCTACTGCTGTAAGAAATATTACTATGAAGTTTAACCGAAACTCGTTAGAGATGCCTCTACTGCACGACTCCAGAATGGCAGCTGAGTTTGGAACTGGAGGCCTGCGCTGGTACTGAGGGTGAGGTTTGAGACGAAGAAAACCTTATGTTTAAGAAGCACTTCCATGTTAAGTCCAAGTCATAAAGTTCTAAGATAGATGCTTCTCTTAGGTGTCTCCAACAGCTTTGACTAGTTTTATCATTATATTTATGTCAAAGGTTGAATTACCTGAGCAAAACCCTGTACACAAGGTCAAAAGATCAGTTTGAAGACTGTGAGTCTGTGCTCAAAGAGAAATGACATTTTTGTACCTCTGGACAAGTAAGCCAAGATAAAAGACCAATGACTTTGAGATTTATGAGTCCTGTGATCTCGCACATTTATCTAGTAAATCATGAATTGCCATTATCATAGTGGTAATGACTGGGAATTACACTGTGAAACGGTTTGTTCCTGAACAAAAGATTTGGAGAAACACAGCTCTACTGTATGATTCCAGTTTACCATATTTCATTTTTCACTGCATCTCCTCCTCGCCTTCTCATCCCTCCTTTCTCTTTTCCATATCTCACCCCTCCCTCCCCTCCAACAACAGCATCTCCACTTTCCTCTCTCCTCCTGCCTCGTGCTCGCTTTTAAGGGAGGCTATTTATTTGAACTGCACTCCCCACTGTGCTCCGACTCGCTGCAAGGTCTCACCCTCTTTCTTTCCCTCTCACTGACTCTTAAATCATTCTTTTATCTGCTCGCCACACAGTGATTGAGGTGGAAAAGAGAAAGAAGTGAGGAAAAGGGTGGGGAGGAGGGTGAGGAATTATTTTCTCCTACCTTTCAGAAAATGATGACATGATTGCTTTCGCTTGATCATGCATCGTCACCCGCCTCTATTCCTTTGGATAAATAGACTAGTTTGTCTTCCCCTGCCTCGTTCCTCTCTTTTCTCCCTCCATCTCTGTCCAGGCTAACATGGAGATTATCTGCTAATAGTTGCTGCTCATGTTGGAGCCAACCACACCATCTTCTAAGAGAGAAATAACTGCAAAATAACTGCAATAACTGGGTGTTGGTATGGTTTTATTTTTGAGATGTTAATTTTTTTTGTATGATTTTGTGTGTGTGTGTGTGTGTTGTGCCTCTGTTGACCAACGGTGTCTGACCTTTGATCCCCTGAGCCAACGATGGGCTGGTATTTACCCAGCAGCCACTAATGTTATGCGCAGGAAGTAGGAGATCAGACTGAGAAAGGTTGTGTGAACATGACAAGCAGCCACATGGACAACTCTGCGTCTGTTTGTAGCTGTGATTTCTCTCAGGCCCAGACAGTATGTGGATTTGGGCCACACTGGACGCTTCTTGCTTCCATCTGGTCCTGACCAAATGGACCTGATCCAAAAATCAAAAACTGAGGCCCTTTATTTGGCAAATGTGGTTTGCACTTGGTCATGTGTCCTCTGGAAGTCACCCACGGTGGTCCAGGTTGTGGCCCGATTCCACCAACTTGGTCCTGAGAGACCAAGAAGTGCCATGAGTCTACATCATATTTGAGCCAAATAGTGTGGTATGTACCAGGTATGAGCCATATGAGGAGGACATTGTTTATACACTGGTTGTTAAGAGGATAAACAGCAAACAGGAAGCTCCCTAGACCTGAGTCATTTCTTCCTTTTTCCCTAAAATTTTGAGAACCAGTTTGAACCTTTTTAACTAGTATACTTGGTAATAAATACCAAATGTACTTGACTTTCTTTGATTTACTTATTTAAAAATGTTATAAAAGCCCCCTTTTATGACATTTTGCGATCACCAAACAAAATGTTTTTGCGCTTGTGTCCAGTGAATTTCCTTCAGTCATCTCTCTGTTTTCCAGATAAAACCCTGCTGCTCACTGTGCAGTGGTGTGATGGCGTGTTATTACTTGGTTTCATGATACTTCATCTACACTTGAAGCTCCGTATAATATTGTACAGATTTGATTTTGGTGGCTCCACGGCCCACGATGGTCTTCTCTCTGGCTTTATAACAGCCCACCTGAAGGGATAACAGGGACAAGATATTGACTCTATTCTCTCTTTGGGCTCCTCTATCGATTTTATGATAGTGAGTGTGTTGGCATCAACCCATCTGTCAAATGTCTACTGGAGTGACAGGAATACAGTAGTGACTAGCATTACACCTGTTAACGTAATGGTGAAACAAAAACCACATTTGTTTTAGGAGTTGAATTTTGAAACACACAAAAAAATAGAGATTTAAAATTTGAAATAATTATGAGCAGTACGTATAAAAAAGAAAGAAGAAGAAAAAAAAAACAAAGATTAAAAAGGTTTCGTCATTGCTCTCCTCCAGCTGTGTCAGGTCAGGCCTCAGAAAAGCGATAATTTCGAATGATATGAAACGACCAAGAAACAACACAAAGAGCGGAAACCGCCGTAATTGCACGTTGCTCCGATTTTTCCGACCCACAAGGGCAGGACGTGCACAGTGCCTTATTTTTGAAACCGGCAGAGAATTTCTGGTGTCCGTCTGCTGCCTAACTTTGCATCGAAAGCCGGCATAAGAGGTAGCTTTAGCCATATCTTGTAAACAATCTATTGTCAAACATAAGCAAGTGTGATGTTGTAGATGCTACGTGCGGTTTGTTTGACTTTCTTTTTTTCCCTCTGCAGATCATGTGGCCGGATGGCACAGAGAGAAGGAAGTGTACCGCAGGCTGAAGGAAGTCCCCGACAAAGTCCTGGCCAACAGTGGCTACTCTGAGATCAATCTGTCGAAACTCTTCCAGGCGTTCGCCGCCCTCAAGTAAAAGATCACACACACTCACCTTACCTCAGCCGGAAGGAGCCTCTGGTTTTAGACTTAACTCTGAACATAAACTGGACAAACGACGAAAAAGACAATTTCCTCTGTTTTTGGATTGGATTGGGACAGTGACGATGATGTGAGGCTCTGACCTTCCATGTGTCTGACCTGATCCTAACGGGCTTTTTGTATGGCTGAAAATCGAATCACACACTTTCCTTTCAGCTGTTTCTTCACACGGACACACACTCCGACTCACACACACGGACACACATCTGGCTTGACCCCATCACACTGCCTCTGTATGGAAAAGGGGAGTAGCAATCATACTTAAATGACGGTCTATTGTGTGTGTGGGGAGACTGGCTGTGGTGTGTGTGTGTGTGTGCGTGTGCATGCCTTTAAAAATGACTTATTCTCAGAGCAGCCTTCATACTCCAAAAGCTGCTAATTAGCCAATGATAGTGACTCTGGTCACTAGGACCACTGGACGCCTGCAGCAGTCGGGCACTTATTCTGATTACCACCATTCATACCAAGTATGTGTGTGTGTGAGTGTGAGAGGATGAAAGGCAGAAAAAAGGAGGATGCAGACAGTAGGAGGCCACACGAGCTGCTCCCTTTTGTCTCCGTATCGAACAACTCATCTTCGTCTCCTTTGCCATCTCTGTTTAACTGATGTCATTTCATCCGTTTCCTCTGCCCCTCCTCCTCCACTGTTCAGTGTGTGTTTTTTAATGTGTGTAATTCTCTTTGTGTTTGAAATGGTTTATGTAATGTTTTTTTGTAATCACTAGAAATGTTCATGTTATTTTGATATTGATGAGAATCTTTGATACTGAAATAAAAAGCTAAGTAAATTTGATGTAAATGTTGTGTTATTTATTAGGAGCAATGACGATTCCTGTGTTAAACTGAGGATTACACATAATTGACATCAAACCTATCTAGAACCAGCAGTTAATTTACAGGAATACAGGTATTCCTGTAAATTAAACACATTGTTTACTTCAGGGGTTTAGCAGCTAAGCTACTAGGAAACCCCAAACTAGCTGTATTGCAGCTCTGAGAATGTTTCGTTATGCCTGATATCTGAACACTTTGGATGTTAACACACGATAAGCAGCAAATCTCTTCGCACTGATTTTCTCATTTTTCCACGTTTCCTTTTTTGCTCACCCTCACCTGCTCACCTGACAAATTCTGCTCGGGTCCTTCCTTTGTTAATACAGCGGAGGAGAATTTTTTAAACTCAATTCTGCGGTGTGCATTTCCATAAACACTACACGCCTCACAAATCACTTCAAACCGCTGTGACTGCTGAAGCCTAAGTGGTGCTGAACACTTAAATCATGATTCACCATGCAATGGATAGATATGGCTACTGCACGTGTGTGTGTGTGAGTGTGTGTCTATTGCTTGGAACTTTACATATTTATCAAATGGTACCGACTCCGCCTCCTCTCCCACAGTAACTTAACCTAGTTTGTGTTTTTCCCTTAAAACACAAACCTGCACC